AAACTTGGAATAAAAAGAAAATAAAGTGAGCTTTGTAACATTGACTTGTGTCCAGTGTAAATTCTTAGGTAAACATTCAAATTTACATTTACTCATGTACATGTGCATTTGTACAGGTACTTATTATTCTAGAACAATTTCAAGGTTTTGCTCTTGATAATCTTCGACCAGCTGATAACTACACACATCATCATCATCCTTAAATACTATGTTGAACCAGTTTTTACCAGAATTTTACCTGATCATTCTCATCTGAAAATTCAACAAAGTAGTGAATTACACGTTTTCCAACAAGCAAGGGCATGGCAACAGATGATTCATCCTGAACTGTTCTCAAAACAGACTGTCCTTTTGCAATGGAAAGAGCAGCATCAATAAAATCTGAACAAATGTTCTTGTAACTCTGTCCAAGCCTGTTCCTTATCCCTTTTGAAAATATGAATTCCTTGTCTGAGGGCAAGTGCTGGTGCAGAAGTTTCCTTCGAAATTGTATCTGGTTTTTTAGCGCATTGAAGCATTCTTGATCACTTGCACTGCTGCATTTTGGTATAAATGGTTTCTCTTGATTGCCACAGCCCAGCATCAATAATAATTGATGTAAGTTTTTCCCTGGTTCTGAATTTGTTCAGCTCTGCGTGTTCGAGTTTGTCTTGTTTATCTCTTTGTTTTTGTAGTAGGGCTTTGTGTCGTTCTTCCCGTTGTTTTACCATTTCTTGCGATTCTTTTCTTTTTGTCATGACTGACTGGATATCTTTGTGCAACTCTTCAGTTGATAGTGCGTCAATATAATTTGCCGTTTTATTAAGAGTGAATATAAATTGTGCTTCATTTCTTTTTTACTTCACATTTGGTCTCTTTTTTGGGCAAAAAATTCAGATACCCAAACACTCTCTCTGGTAACTTTGTGTTTGGGTACCAATGATGTTTGTTGTTTAAATTTGCTGTCCATTTGTAAGTCATGATATTGCCCACAGGGCAGAAATCTTTTACTACTCTTCCCAAAAGTTGATTGATTGCTGTGAAGGTGAATCGGATCATGCTTAAGGTGATTTTTGTTATGTGGTGATTCTTTAATGAGGCTATAGTAAACTTCATCTTTTGAAATCAAATGCTCATCAAATGGCGAAACTTCACCATTAATAAATTTAAACCACTCTGTATCTCTGCTCAAACAGTCATTAAAAATTCTTGAAGCTTTGTACCTGTATAGTGGGTACACATACGTTGTACATGTATCTCATACATGTATGTGACCATCGGTTTCTGTGACCCTCCACAGAGGTGCCGTAATCAACTTATTCATCAAACCTAGCACCTTGCATCCAGCCCAAAAACTGGTTAGAGAAATATGGAAGGGCTGCGTAGCACCATGATTAGAATATTGACAAGAATATAATATAAAATCAGTGCTCTGGAATATGAGGCAAGCAGATTCAGTTCAAGCAAGCTGATTGGTTTCGAGAGCTTCATCGTTATTATTAGAAATCTCATCTCTGGCTTGTGACAGCATCTCCTTTCTTTCTGATAATTCTTTGTTGAGATTATTGCAGTGACCTTCAAGTTTTTGCCTTTTGAACAAAGTTTGTCATAGTCTTTCTTCAGCTCTTTTTCTCATAGCAAAGTGATGTAGCCTGTGACTTGTGGTATTTTCCGCGACGCCTTTGTAGAGTTTGCAATTCATCAGGTTACAAGTTTGATAGGAATTCAATATTCTGCTTCAGTTCATAATTTTCTTTTGCTATCTGTTCATTCCGTGATTTTCAGAATGCTGATACCAAATGTTGATGGACTGGGTTCAAATGCAGGTCGTGGACCAGAAATCTCAGGAAACACACACTGTACATTGTACACTGTACACATCCTTTTCCCCATGCTTGCAATTGTTCCTTCACATCTTTTCTGGGGTTGCTCTTTTTTAACTTATCATGCATTCCAATAAGTGGTTTTGATTGTATGCTGAAATGCCGAGCCCAGCCCCCATCATTTTCCATGCCATCTGGTTTAATTAAGCATCATTATCCATTGGCCATAATCATTCCAAGTACATGTAGCTCCACATTGTTTTCGAAAGTTGAACAATTGAATAACATGTCCATTAAGCTGATCAAAGTTCAGGGGTGAAATTGGGCTGTCGGCAGTTTTCAACTTTTGAAGGAGGTCCATACCAAGTAATGTTGGAGGCATTGGTCCAGGACTGAGTTTGATGTCTCCACAAACTCGAAGTGGTTCATAACGAATTGATATACATTGAAGGCTGCCTTTCCCATAGCTACAGTCAGGAGAATTATCAGAAAGGTTCTGCAACCAGTACCTACACTAAAGGTACATGTACTCCCCGTCGCTTCATTTGAAGAATGTTGACGCCGAGCTTTGAATGAATGTGCAGGAAGAGGCCAACTTGCAGACGCCATACTTCTAAAGTCACTCCCATTTTGATAGATGGTACCCAGCCCTGGATGGCAGTCAAAGTCTGTAATGGTAAAATAATAATCCTACTAGTAAAATAATAAAATACAAAAATAATAAAATTGATTATAAAATATAACACTCCCATTTGCACAAGAAAACGTAACCCCTGTCACTAAGAGTTACTTCAGCCCAAACCAAGTGTTTTGATAATCATTCTTTCCCACAAGAGCCAGGGACTGGAATTAAAGTAATTGACCAAGTATAACAAAGTTATGTCATGGAAGAATGAAAATGATGGGAAATGTAACCTGTACCTGTCAGAAAATATTTCTAGTTAATAAAACAATTACTTCAAAAGATTTTGGAACTAATTTAAAAACAAACAAAATTAATTTTAAAATGTTAAAAAAATCAAAGCAAATAACTCCATTCAATAAGCAGGGAGTGAGCATACATAATGGAACAGCCTCAACTATGATGTTGGTGGCATCTTACTAATGAGTGATCACCATTATGTATCAAGAGATACAAATATTGCCACTGGAGGAACTACCTCTACCCCACTACGTTGCTTGCTAAATTCTTTGAAGTTACAGCAAAACTATCACAAGAATTTCATCAAATTGTTTAAAATTATTCTCAGATATCAATATTAATTAATAGTTATTAAATGAGTAACTACTGTACCACTTGCACAACATATCACTACCACCTGTACAACATACATGTATCACTACCACCTGTACAACATATCCAACAGGCCATAATAATCGAAAGTTGAGGCATGAGTCCAAACATAAAAATCGATTGTGATTGCGTGCGATGTACATGTACTATACCCACGTGAGGTAAGATGTTCAGGTAGTTTTGATGCCGTTCTATCGATTAAAAATGCATTCATCGACATTCACACAACCCCTTTACCCTAAAACCAAGAAAACTCTAGTTCCTTACCTGAAAATTGGCATTTTTGGCTCAAAAATCAGCCGATTTTCATGCGGATTTCGATGTTGATCAGCTACACTGTACTATCGATGTACGACAAAAATACACCACCACGCCGCGTGGGAACTTCAAGCTATCCCAGAATGAAACAGCGGAAACACTAGACCATGATCGCCGAAGTTTGTGAATGGGGAGATACATGTGCACAATTGTAATGTGCAGTGTTACAACAGTCCCTACAACATCAAATGGCCTGTACTGTAAACATGTAGGCTACACAAATGTACATGTACATGTAGCTATTCTTTCCAGTAGAAATAAAGTATTTTAAGTGTACAATTTGTGAACCACATTTTAAACAATGCATGTGTACTTGGGTCTGCCTGTCACAGTAAAATGCCCAGCAGAAGGCTCTGAAAGGGTTTAACTTCCCATAGAAACATTGTATGACCTTACATACAGTTTGTACCATTGAATTTCTCTGGTTTCAAACTTTATATGAGGCCATGAGAATGATAGTTTTAGATTTGCGTCCGGAACATTTTGGAAAAACATGGAGCTTTTTTCATATTTCATTATTCCTTATTTTTCGTATCTGACTTTGTGCGGAGCGCGAAGAGGCCAAGTGCAATGTATATACAGTGTATGTAAAGTACATGTACGTAGTAAGAATTCAAGTTGCAATATACCGCATTCCCTGGTGCATGACACTGCTAAAAATTCTCCCTACATTCAACTGAGCTTAATGCATATTCAGTTAATTAACTGGCATGCCAGCCGCAAATTATAGCCACAACCTCACGTTCCATACATGTATAAGGCAAATGAGGTCATCAAGTTGTCAAACAGAACAAGTTTTGCTTGGATACAGCATTCTGTATACTCACGGCTGGCCAGCCTGCCGGCCGGGACGGAAGCTGCAAGGCCTTGCAGCACTAACGGGATTGCTTGTACATGTATGTATGTACATCGTTTACATGTATAGTACATGTACATGCACAGTAATGTCCGTGCTCGGTGGATACTTACATATGTACATGTATTCCCCGGCCGGGCCATGGCAGTGCTTTACACGTATGCATATTACAGTCTTACAGAATTTGATTGTTTGTGAAGTACATGTGGGTAGGCATGGTAGGTATGCGTAGATATATACATGTACGTATTTTGGACCCATTTACTGCTGTATGATTTAGGATTTGAAATGGATTTTTATTCCTGCATTTTTCTGAAGACATTGATTTTTTTTTAATAATGAACTATTTCGGCAGGGTCACTTTGGACCATGCGGGCGGTGGACGCAAATCTAAAAATTTCATTCTCATGGCCTCATTTTATACATATACCTTTTTAAGCATTTTTAATTTTTGGGTATCACAGGTACCAGGGGGTACATGTACATTTCCACTGTATTGTAGACGACATCCACTGGGCTAGGTAACGTTAGTTCTACACTTTTACAAATGACTGACAACCACATGGTTTGCTCAATGGTTTATGTGCCTTACTCCGGTGCGCAGTAAACAGTAGGCATGGACAGTGATGGATGGTGGCACTTAGCACAGACAGACTAAAGTTGGCAAAGTGCACCATACTGTGCCAAAACGTTAGCAAGTCCTGAAAACAAAAAGTTGCTTTCAACGTACCTGCATCAATTGACCATCTTTTGAGTTGTTTATGTGGAAAAATGGTACCATAGGCTGTCCAACACTTGACCACTGACGTCCTTTTTGTGGTACAAAACATGAGAAGTAAAACTTCGAACGCAGCATGATCATCGCGGGACATAACTACGTACAGCGCCCTCAATCGGAAAAGGCCAGTTGCGCCAACTTGAACTTCAAGAATGTCCGGTCCAAGCATTTTCTCCTCCAGGTCTATGGTCCAAGTCACTACAAGCGACGTACATGTACACAGACCAGTGACTTGGAGGTCAAGTCGTACATCTACAAGAACGTTCGAGCATGTGCACATGTTACATGAGGGAGGGGGTTCCCCCATCTCCTCCTCGGGAAAGAAGAAAAAAGTTGGTGAAAATCTCAAATAGGATGTGGGACCGCTGTTTAGAAACTGATTTGCGTTATTCCAGCTTTTGCCACTGACCGGGGTTTCTTTGAACATTTTTCCAAATCAGAGAGCCCCTTTTTTTTCTTGTTCACAATTTTTATATTGGGGAAAAGTAAGTAAATCAAATCAAATTAAATTGCTTGAAAATACCTCGGCGTTAACACCCTTCTACCATTTTTTTTTTTTTTTGTTAAATGCTGATGAATGCAGTGCCCTCCCCCATCCTGTTCCAAGAACCGTTTCAGAAAGTAAACTATCTGCACAACATAATTCAGCGTAAATCAAAGAATTTAATTTTTATCTTATTCTCTCATTCAGGAAAAAGAAATGAGCTATACCTTTAAATAATCCTCATATTCCTTGGGTTGTCCTCATTAAATCTTTTTCCTTAAATGGCTTCTTAAATTTCCGTAGCATTTTTCAATGAGAGTAATCCACATGGCATAACTTCCGGGTTTCCAACATAAATACAAGTAACTTAAGAGGAACAGAAAATTGCAATAAAGGGGTAATAAAGTGCAGTTCAAATCATGAGCATATTATTAATGTCTCAGGCCACATATTTTATTTCATTCAATCAAAATCCTCTGACTGTTACACCGATTACAGGAGTTACAAAAAGTACACAGAATACTAGTCCAGACTTCAAACTCATTTTGTGCACACAAATTCCCTTGGTTTGCCTCGAGTGTATTGACCTTGAGTGGCATAAAACAGGCCATACAAGATCAAAACTGTACTCTCTAACCCATATTTCTTCAAAATGTCTAAAAGGCAAAGGGCTTGTATTTATTTTACATAAGTCTGACACATAAACAAGCCCATTTTTGATTGGTGGAGCATTTTTTAATACAAAATGCATAGACCAAAGGCACTTAGAAGTTTTCTGAGGGAGGCTGGAACTGTTCAGTACTGAAGCCTTAAGCTTTCTATTTTATTTTTCCATCACAAAGTGTTGCCATTGTAAGAATCAAATCAGTGACTTTCAAGACCAAGTATGGCAAATCGGATAGTGAATCTTCTGTTTATGAAAAAAATCAAACAAGTGGAAATGAAGAAACATGAATAGTGCTTAACTTCTCAATCTTCCACCCCTTTCCTCTTGTCCACTTGCAGGTGGGTATAATTTTGGCCAAAAATTTCAGCTCTTGAAAAAGGTAAGATATGGCCATCAACACAGCCAAATACCATATATACTGATTTACACGAGTCATTTGAACAGTATTTGTACCACATTTCTTACCACAACCTCAAACTTTTCAACAATGTGGGACATGCCAATGGAGTGGTATATACTACAACGGGCGCCATATATGCACGGCTGCCAAGTTCACATTCAACACACCATGTACCTCCACGGATTTCTCAGACTTTGTGTGTGCTTTAAAAACAAAACAAACACAGCATTGACATGTTCAGATGTCAGTCGAGTTGATTGAGTCAAGGTATGCTTGATGTTTGAAACTATTAGCTTGTACCTGTGTATACAGATGGCCAGATCATGGCAATATATAGTCTTGTCCAAAGTGGATTTAGAAAAATAAAAATAAGAGCACATCTTGTTTAAATACAGACATTCAAGGAAAAGCGACCTTCAAGTTTAAGAGTTGCTGTTGAACCTCCCCCTCCCCATTTCATTTGTTTTCTCTTTGGCAAGCAGCGACCCTATCTACCTACACGTAAATATCCATTAGTCTGTCTTCCAAATTAGTACTCTAATTTATTAGTGGCAAAAGCATTGTTGAAGTCATGAAAGAGACAATAGGCAAGGACAGTTATGTGCAGAAAAAAAGAGATACAAATTTTCCAGAAGCACCTAATGAGTGAAGCTCCAGTTAGAAATAAAATTTTAAGCTTAAGTTACACATGTACATGTAGTTACATTTACTGACTATGAGCACAATTGACATCTTCATTCCACATACTGAGATACAGAATTTG